TGTTATTTTAATATTATATACTATTATAGTGTTTATTTGTATTTTGACTTAGTTTTTATTTTAGTTAATTTAGAGTTTGTTGTGTTGTGTTTTATTAAAACATTAAAACGCACCCAAACATTTTTTTTTATTTAACATAAAAAACGTTTTAGTCATTTTTATAGATCAACTTAAACATTTTCAGCTTAAATTTCAGTTTAATTTCAATTAAGTAATTTTTGTTAAATAGTTTTAGTTTGTTAATGATAACAAATATGCTTTATATACCAGCATATCTGTTATAAGCAGTTAAATTGGCATGTTTCAAACCTGAAGTGCTCAGAGATTGGTGAAAGGGTCATAGTTTATAATGAAGTAAACCATCATTCCCATATAAGCTGTCAAAAAAAAGAGAGACAGCCTGTAAAGAAAGTCTTTAGATGAAATGTAAAGTCATTGTAAACTGAGCTCTGAATGGCAGAAATGGGATTTTATTGTGATCCATTATGTCAGTTTGTCAATGTGCTGTAAGTGGAAGAGAGCACTGAAACAAGCACATCCTCCTCCTGCCCTTCAACCTAGAGATCTTGCGTCCGCTCCATGCTTGCTATATGTCTTTCATGTATTGGCCCCTTTCTCTGTCATTTTTATTTTTGTTTTGACCTGAATTATCTCAGTTTCCCTTCCTTCCCCCTTATTTGTTCTGCACGTCTCCGTGGCAGAGGTTCTGACATGTTGGGGGTTTTTTTTTGGTCCCATCTGGCAGCTGCGCAGCTTGTTTGTGTTGGCTGAGCCCTGCTTGTTCCAGTGCTTTGCTTCTCTTTCGTGGAACTGACCAAGCAGGAGGAGGGGCTCCAGTTCCTCTGTCCGCGCCAACAACCATGATAAAGAACCTTGGGCCATTAGCACACTGGCTTCCTCTTCAAACCGAAGGAAAAAAGACCCTCTCCACCAACTGCAGTTCTGCACTTAGACTAATGTTAGTCTAAAGGAGACCTTACATTTTTTTTTTTTTTACGATTACTTACATTTAAACACACATTTTCACTTAATTGTCTGACTCTTGGCCTGCATGTGAAACGCTGCACTAGACAGTGGCTATGTTCACGTTAGAAACCTAAATATTTAGTTTGATAATTTTGCTTTGTTTACATTGGTTTTTATGTGTAACCTACATTTGTAATCAGTGAGAAACTGACCCAGCACCTTTCCTATTTGTAAAAACTATAAAGTCACCTGCTTTGCATATGCTGATAACCTTAAAGGGTTAGTGCACCCAAAAATGAAAATTAGCCCATAAATTACTCACCCTCAAGTCATCCTAGGTGTATATGACTTTCTTCTTTCAGACGAATCCAGTCGGAGTTATATTAAAAATTGTCTTTGATCTTTCAAGCTGTTTAATGCCACTCAGCGGGTGTTGCATGCATCAGTACAAAAGAAGTTAAATAAAAAGTGTTCATCCATAAAAAAAAGTGTCTCACCCGGCTCCGGGGGGTGAACAAAGGCCCCCTGTAGTGAATCGATGCGTTTTTGTAAGAAAAATATCCATATTCAAAACGTAATAATCACTTTAATGTAGCTTGCGCCAACAGTCCTACACGGAAGCAGTTCCGCGTTCGTCACTTCTGAGCGGCGCATGCGCAAAGCCGACCTCTAGATTAAATTGATTATTACGTTTTAAATATTTTCGATTCACTACAGGAGGCCTTTGTTCACCCCCCGCAGCCGTGTGAGACTTTTTTTTTATGGATGGGCGCTTTTTATTTAACTTCTTTTGGACTGATGCATGCAACACCCGCTGAGTGGCATTAAACAGCTTGAAAGATCAAAGACAAATTTTAATATAACTCCGACTGGATTCGTCTGAAAGAAGAAAGTCATATACACCTAGGATGACTTGAGGGTGAGTAATTTATGGGCTAATTTTCATTTTTGGGTGAACTAACCCTTTAATAACAAGATCTCATGTTTGGAAGGCTGTCAAGTAAACTCAAATTGCAAACTTAATTTCCTAATAGTTTATTTTAATTTAATATTTTTTTTCTCATAAAGCTAAGATTGTTTTAAAAGTTTAAACGCATGTGAAACATCTTGATAAATTAGATTTACTTTCTCTAAACCTTAAGAAGCCTGAAATCTCTCAGTTTCTGCACTGACTCTGCTGGCCTCCAGATGTTCTACAGTACAGAATCAACTTTATAGATGCTGTATAATGTTGTTTGCACCTGTTGGATAAATATGGGTCACATCACATCACACTTTTCTTTGTCAAATTAATTTATTCAAATATATGAAAAATGCTATTCATGCATACAGTGACTTGAATACATCTCTTCTATAATGAGCATGTTTTTAATTCCTGAATTCTGAATTCTGAAATGGAAAAAATCTTACCCGACCCCAAATTTTTGAACGGTAGTGCATGTCATTGACCTGCATTTATTGTATCAATTGTGTGACTACAGATACAAAGAGCCCAATTCTGGAAATTCAGATCTGTGGTACATGTTTATTTATGCATGTTCATGAACATTGGAAACAGATGGGTTTTACTCCTGAATTCTGCTGTTATGAGAAAGACACTCTTTAAACTTACAGCATAAAACATTGGGGTCATTGTGTTTTGTGCGTGTGGATTGTGTTTCCTAGGTCTCTGTTCATGTGAGCACCACCTACACGACTTTGTTCTGATTGGCCAGTACTTGCTCTGTTTAGCTTTTCTCTCACTTGATCATCTGCTTCTCTGTTCATATTTCCCCCCCCTCTTCTTGGTCCTTTCTGTTTGTTGGTGACATCTATGTCCTGGTGTTCATCACATGTTCACATCATTGTATGCTGCGCATGTTTAGATGTCTGGCCTCCTTTTAAATACTGTTTGGCCATTCCAGTCACGTCAATCATGCGTTTTTAACCTTTGACCCATATTCTGTGTTTGTGTCATATGTATTAGATCTTAAGAGTTCTGTGCTCATCGTCACACTGAAGATTAGATACGTTTTCAAAAGGCAAAAAAAAAAAAATAGCACCATTGAGCACGGAAAGCTACATTTTTAAGAACTTTCTAAGCTCAAGATAAGCTCAATTTTTTTGGTAGTCCAGCCAGGTTACTTTGTTCTTGTTATTCAGTATCAACTATTTTGCACAGTGAAGGTGACTCCATTATTCAGATTCGTCTTTTAACTTTCTGTTGTCAGGTCATATGAGAAATGGTAGAATTGCAAAGCTTTTTTACTTTCCTTGTTAGGAAAGTAGGCCTGAAGGGATGTGATGAGCGAATGTGTGTGAAATGTATATTTTTTTTTATTGTTTTTTTTTATTAAATGTAAAGAAGAGACCGAGATAGATCAGCAGTAACCAGACAGGAACTCTGACTGATTCAGTCCAGAGCAGGAATGATTTAGAGCATGCATTTCGGTTTGCTGTCTGGCTTTAAACTGAAGTGAGATCAGTTTTGTGGTCTCTATTACAATGGCGAACAGTGAAATGTAGAAAACTCCTTGACAAAGTTTCCAAGCTAAGGAAATGGCAGTCTGAATATAGTCAATAATTTATTCTTATGACATGATCTGCACACAATTTTCATTTGTGTATGTGTGTAATATACACGGCCGTTCAAAAGTTTGGGATCAGTAAGACTTGTAATGTTTTTTTTAAAGAAGTCTCTTATGCTCATCAAGGCTGCATTTATTTGATCAAAAATACTGAGAAAAAAAAACAGTAATCTTGCAAAATGTTATTACAATATAAAATAATGGTTTCTATTTTAATATCCTTTAAAATATAATTTATTTCTGTGATGAAAAGCTGAATTTCCATCAGCCATTACTCCAGTATAAAGTGTCGCATGATCCTTCAGAAATCATTCTAATATGCTGATTTATTATTCGAATTAGCAATGTTGGCAACAGTTGTGCTGCCAAATATTTTTTTGGAAACTGCGATACTTTTTTCAGGATTCTATGATGAATAAAAAGTTTAAAAGAACAGCATTTATTAAAAATATAAATCTTTTTTAACGATATAAATCTTTGCTATCACTTCTTAACAATTTAACACATCCTTGCTGAATAAAAGTTTTAATTTCTTTCAAAAAAAGAAAGTATAAAAATGTACTGACCCCAAACTTTTGAACTGCAGTGTACAGTATATTGTTAAAAAAGATTTCTATTTTAAATAAATGCTCTTCTTTTTAACCTTTTATTCATTTTATTATTTATTCACTTTATTCCAAAAAGATATTAAGCAGCACAACAGTTTCCAGCACTGATAATAAATCAGCATATTAGGATGTTTTCTGAAGGATCATGTGACACTGAAGACTGGAGTAATGATGCTGAAAATTCAGCTTTGCATCACATTAAGCAGCACAACAGTTTCCAGCACTGATAATAAATCAGCATATTAGGATGTTTTCTGAAGGATCATGTGACACTGAAGACTGGAGTAATGATGCTGAAAATTCAGCTTTGATCACAGGAATAAATTAGATTTGAATGTATATTAAAATAGAAAAACGTTATTTTACGTCATAATAATATTTCACAATATTAAATTTTTTCCTGTATTTTTGATCAAATAAATGCAGCCTTGATGAGCATAAGAAACTCCTGTAAAAAACATTAAAAACCATTCTGATCCCAAACTTTTGACCGGTAGTGTATATATATTTCCAGTTTATTTCACATAAAAACTTGCTCTAACAGCACTAACTAGTCGTTATTGATTTTTAAAAAACTTAATTGAGAGATTGCAAGTGCAAGCTTGTGCAACAAAGGCGAGCTTAATAAATGTAGCTAAAATATCCACTTTGATGAAATATTTGTTAGAATCATGTTTCATCATATTCTCCATTTGGTGTTTGATGGTACATAAGCATTCCTTTGCTTCATAGCTGGGCTGACACAATTTAAGGTGAATTGCTGGTTATTCCTGTGATGGGAACCTGGTCACAGGTATGTGCTCTTAAAAAGGTCAGCTGTCTAAATGCCTCTTTTATTGTGGTTCTTTTCCTTTTAAAGCAGATAACGCGACCTTCACAGGAAGACAAGGCAGACGACAAGAACGAAGAGGACAAATCGGAGAAATCAGAGAAGAAAGAGGACGAGGAGAAGGAAGAGGAGGAGAAAGATGAAAAAGAGGACTCAAAGTAAGTTCCATGTTTTGTTTGTTTTTTTTCTACCATTTTTCTACCAGGAACATTTTATTTATGTTCCTGTGGCTCAGTGGTAGAGCATTGCGTTAGCAGCGCAAAAGGTTGTGGGTTCGATTCCCAGGGAACACACATACTGGTAATGTATAGCCTGAATGCACTGTAAGTCGCTTTGGATAAAAGCGTCTGCTAAATGCATAGGTTATTATTATTAATATCTATTTCCATTTGTTATTTTCAAAAGAGAAATACTGTCATGGATGTTTACAGAGCAGAGGTCACCTTTTTTTAATTCCAATGGGAGAGATGGACTTTTGTTTGTCTTTTGTTTATTATTATTTTGTGTTGTATTGTTGGTTAATGTGTTATTTCTGTTTTCAAAGCCAGCAATAAATAACACTTTAATATCTAAAAAGTGTTCATGTGATTTTATACATTAGTTATGTTGGGAAATGAATAAATGCAGAATAATCGTCATAATCGTAAAACCGTGATTATTCCTCAGACAATAATCGTACCAACAAAATCTATAATCGTTGCATCCCTAATCGATACATCGATACGATGTCTGACGATACGATGCATCGATGCCACGCGTAAAATATCGATATCTGTAGTATAAATAGACACCTTTATTTTGGCACTGTCCACATTTTCACATAATGTCCGTCTAAGCATTACCGACAAGCGTGCATTCTCGTTCAAACTCGCGTATCAGGACTCGATATAAGGACTGCCTGAAGGCACAAGGTGAGCATAAAAGACGCTCGGGATTGTTTGCGGAACAGTCGAACGCTGTGTGAGAAGTTTTCTGCACACACATCTGAATTTTGCGCACGCACACAGACAACAGCGTCTACACAGCGCGAATACTAAATTGAGCTCTCTTCCGCTTTTTTGTGCATGGATGAATAAATACAGACAAAATTACTTCAAAATGCGCGTTTTGGCGAATATCCTGGTAAACACAGTCGGTTAGGCATATGTCTTAATGTAAACAGTTGAGAAAGAAAAGGCATGTGTACTAATGCTGTCAAAGAAAAATACAAGTGCTCACTGCTCCTGACTAAATAACCTTTGTAACATCAAAAATGATTAATCTATATTTAATTTATACATTGAAGACTATGCGCTTATTTTACATTTGATTATTACAGTTCTGGCGTACCTGAAAATTGATTTTAGACTGAGCTGAAAAACCTGAAAAGCACTGTTTATTGTACTTGTGTCTTTGTATTTATTTTCTGCTATTGCTTGTAATTTGGTTATCTGTAGAAAAGATTTTTAGCACTGAGCCCATAGTAGCAGCCAGAATTGTTTTTCCAATTGTTAATTTTCTTTATTATTTAAAAAAAAAAAAAAAAAAAACTGTAGGCCTTTTTTGTTTTGAATGTCCCAATTGAGGTACAGGATGTGAAAATTTCAGATAAATGTTAATGTTATATATTTTGGCTGCATTTGTGAGTTAATAAAAATGTAGATGGATGTTTAAAATGGGTATATAATATCGATATATCGATCGATATACTCCTGAATCGAATCGTAATCGTATCGTAGAACTTTTATGAGGTATCGGCAAATATCGTATCGCTGGGTATGAGAATCGATATCGTATCGTATCGTGACGAACAATCAGAGAATCGAATCGTAATCGTATCGTAGAACTTTTATGAGGTATCGGCAAATATCGTATCGCTGGGTATGAGAATCGATATCGTATCGTATCGTGACGAACCATCCGATTTACACCCCTAGTAATGAACTGGCCTCAATTCGCCCTTTTTCTCCAGCTCCACTGTGAGATCTCAAAGGCCACATGCACACTGAAAATTTGGGAGCGACAACAGCAGAGTTATTGTTTTGTTGGTATGATACAGGATTCAGTCTCGAAATTGCAATGTTTTTAAAATTTTTGAAATTTTGAAAGAATCTTTTCACTTAAACCACCCAAATAATAGATAGCGGATAGATGTTTTGTTGTTCTCTCAATGAGTGTGCAGTAGTTTAAAGTAGGTAAGATTATCTGTTTTCTGTGAGGTGAGCCTTATTGTAACAGGGGCTTAAGATTAGCCTCATTAACTCATTTGGTTTGGAGGAGACGGTGTGCTTTACTCGGGACCTGTTATGTCACTACCAGGAATTCAACAAAAAGTAGAATAAATCATGAAAAAACTGGGTGTTTTTACTTTTCTGTGAATACAAAAAAATGGTACAGAAGTGGTTTTGAAATCTGTGTGAGCTCCTGTTATGGAAACTGTGATAAACTCCAAAAGACTAATACATCATAGCAGATGAGAAATTCGCACAGTGTCTGCTTTTGTAACTTTTGAGTTCTGCTCACCCTGACCATCTGAATAGATGTAGCTGAATAGAGTTCAATGCAGAGGAGAGTCTTTATTCCTTGTCTTTGCCCCCACAGGGACATCAGTAAAGATAAAGAGAAGTGTGAGGGAGAGGAGGAAGAGGGTAAGGAGCAGAGCACGCCACGCGGCCGAAAGACCGCCAACAGCCAGGGCCGCCGTAAGGGCCGCATCACCACCCGCTCCATGGCCAATAATGAGGCTGCATCTGTGGTTGCAGAGGAACCACCTCCACCGCCACCTGAACCAGGTAACACCCAAATGCCCATGCGCAACTGTTACTTGCTCTCTCTGGCCAGTGCTGCGTTGTCATCCTACATTTGTTGACCATGTGTTTTTATGCCTTGCAAACTTAAACATTTGGTTTGATGTGGTACATTGAATATTATTGTCATTCATTTAAAATATGTTTATATAAAAACAGCTGTGCTGCTTAATATTTGTGTTAATATTTGAATAGAAAGTCCAAAAGAAGAGTTTTTTTTTTTTAAATTGAAATTTTTTTCTAACATTTTAAATGTCTTTACTGTCACTTTTTAGCAAATTTTGCCAATCAAAAACCTAATAAGTTGGTGTATTAAACAGTTTTAGAAAATAAATAAAAAAAATTAACTTATAAACTTATAAAACTTATAAAATAAGTAATTAACAAATGGAGCCAGTAAACATGTAAAAAGAAAAATATGAGTTACTGGCCTAACCAACTAGCAGAAAAAAATCTTAAGAAAAATATATTTTTTAAATCTTACCTTATTGTAAAGACTTAACTCTTTTTCATTCAGTCAAACAGTTTCACATTTACACAATTACACAAAACTGAAAAAAACACCTGAGAACTAGTGTGTTTTTTTTTTTTTTTTTTTTTTTTTTTTAATGATCAGTCCAAACTGATTTGCTAATAATGCATCCGACTTCCTAATACTTGGGCACACAAGCACAACTGAGCCCAAGTCCTGATGGTTTATTCTGTTACTTAGTTCTGCCAGAGTCCACACCCCCCTCTAAACCTGAGCCAGTGCAGAAACCAGCACGAGAGCCTGCGAAACCCTCTCCTGCAGACAGTGCAGAGACACGAGGTAAGTGCTGTCTTTTTTTTTCCCACATACTTTCCCTCTCTCTTTCTGTTCAAATAGCTTCTCGCATCAACACACTCACTCACTTTGTCACCTCTCAAAAAGGTGCATCGCTGTGGCTCTGTGATGTTTTTCTGCTGATCGTGTGGTCAGTCTGTGGAAGTGTGAGTGTGAGCTGTTCCTCTGTGACCTCATTACAAAGCCTGAAAGTCACCTAGTTCGCTGCTCTCTCTGACCGCAGCATGGTGTACGTGTTGTTTGTGGGGTTTGATTCAGTTGCTGTTGTGATAGAAAGGCTGCTGTACAGAAACACAGTGGATTTGATCCACTGACTCATGAAACAGCATCTCTTCAGCATTATTTCTCTTCTGTTTTTCACTGTTATGATATATAGAGTGTTTCTCTTAATTTTACTGTTTATTCCTTTTGCACTCTTTGGTTCCCTCCCTTCGCCTTTTTTTTGTTGCTCTTTTGCTCCCTCTCTCTCTCTCTCTCTCTCTCTCTCTCTCTCTCTCTCTCTCTCTCTCTCTGTCTCTCTGTGAGATTGTTTGTCCATTCTTTCCTATCTCCGAATCCCTCTCTTCTTCCTGCCACCCAACGCCAGACTCAAGGTCTCTGAGTTTGTGTTGCCGTGGTAACAGTGGGTGGAGGGATCGCCATGGAGACAATAATGAGAGGCAGGTAAACGCGGCGAGTCTCAGGAGAAGTTTGATTAGAGCGAAAAGGGGAATGAAAGACCAGCCTGATGGTTTCATTTAGCTTTTGGAGCCACTTTAAAACTAATTAAGAGTCCTCATCGCTCAGTAAAAATTGTTCATTACATTTTCCCCTGAACGCAGGCTGCGTCCACGTCAGAAATTATAGCTGATTAGTGCGCCGTACTGAAGTTTAGTCACCGATTGTGTTTTGTCATTCCTTCTGTTTCACGATGGAGTCTCCAGTCTGACCTCTGTCCTCTGTATTATGATCTGATGGACCAGTAAAGCTATTAAACCTCTAGCCCTCGTGGGCCCGAAGAGAGTCTGCCTGTCTGGCCTAATAAAGTTTGTGTCTGTGCTTGATTTTTATCTTGTCATTCTCTGTCTTTAAAGTGGGTTTAAAATTTTAAACAGGCGCTCAAGAGCCATAATGCACCAATTCAATGTCTAAACCGCCATCAACATGACAAAGCAGTGGAGTATGAGCATATAAACGTAACACGCACACACTCGGGGGTCACGGGGTAACGTAAACAGCATCTAGTGGGTCACCAAAGAGACATTTATTTGAAGAGTTTTAGTGGAGACATCGAAGTCATCCAAACACTGCAGGACACACACTCGCGCACTCGCATAAATGTCAGCGGTTCACACTGCTAAATCTGTCTTAGTGTTTAGTCAATTTCAAGGAGACCCTCAGAGCGGGCGGGAGAGGAGAGCACAGGCTGTCTTTCTCTACCGTGCTGTCTTTCTCTCTCTTTTGCTCTTGCTGTAGTTTGAGTGGAAATTATGTAGGGAGGGGTTGTTGCGCTGCTCGCTTTAGCTTGGCTACTGTTATGAGATAGACTGCCTAATGATATGGGTGAGAGTGTGTGTGTGTATGTGTTGGTCTTAGACCCAGAAGGGAGGTGCTTCTGCACTCCTCCACTGTCTGCTTGAGATCAGCTGACTGGACTCTCCTAGAGACCGAGCATGAAAGAGAGAGACAGGAGAAAGAGAGAGGCGAGACTGCCTAGTTGAGTCCAGTAAGCTCCATGGAGGGAAAGCAATAAACGGGGCAAAGGACAGAAAGCATTTGGAGACTGAGGGAGGGAGGGAAGGTTTTGAGGAGGGTGGAGGTCTCCGCAGCGCCCGAGTGTAAACCGATAGAGAGGGAGGGTGTGAGATGAGCCGTGTCGTATAGCGCTGCTTGAGTTTTCCCTCACTGACGCTGCTGGTGTGTGTCGCTACAGGCGCAATTGAAGCTGGAGAGACGTCTCGCTGGACAGAGGAGGAGATGGAGATCGCCAAAAAAGGTACTGCTTGACTTTTACTTCATCTCCCTCCCCCACCCCCTCTCCTTCTCTGGTTCTCAATTGGCTCTGTCTGATCTAATTTTCACACACACACACTTTTCACCTCACTTTTGCTCTACTTTGATGTCTTGGTGGTTTTGCATGGGTTCCCATGTTGGGGAAGTTTGTGACTTGTGGGTTTGTGGGTTGCGCTTGTGAGCATCCTCTTTGTAGTAGATTAGGACTGCACAGAAGAAACTGAAGTGACTGTGTGACTGTTTGACACGCTATAAACTTTACAAGACGACCACTCACCCCATGTGAAAGAATGACAGGAATAGTGTGGAGGGCACATGTTTTGAGTTGAAAGTTTAATGGGCTTGTTTAGTGAATCTCGCGGAATACATGAACACGTCACCTCAAAATCAAAAGGGAAGAAAAAGTATTTATATGAGGTACAAGAAACTGAAGCCTTGTTCTTGGACCATTACACTTTTTTGTACTATGGCATTATTTCATGACAATTCAGCACATTGTTCACAAAATTCTTGCTTTGCAGAGTGATTATGCAGGGAAGGTGGGATCTTGCTTTGAAAGCTAGTTTGCTATTGCTAGCCTCTCCAAAATCGCCTACCCTACCTTTAATTTGACCAAAAGTATTAAAGACATTTATAATCTTGCAGTTGTTATAATTTCTATTTTTTAAAAATGCAGTTCTTTTGAACTTATTTTTCATCAAAGAATCCTGAAGAAATCTCTACAAAAATATTATTTGTGTATTGAAATAAAATTTGTGAATTAATTAGCAATTTTACTATTTTAAATTGTCCATTCAAGTCTGTATTTTACTGATTCAAACTTTTTAAATGCATTGCATTGTTTATCAAACATAGATGAGTTGTGCACTTCCTCAGTCAGCCGTGTTCATCTGCACATTTTACTTGAGCATTTCCATCATTACAGGTGTGATATTTGTGGTCAAAACATGAAATGGAACTAAGGTACTAACTATTCTACAGTGAATCTCCTTTTATTTTGATTGCTAAAATACTTTTAAAAAATTACAGTATTTTATTCATATTTGCAAATTAATAATATAGTGTTATTTCTTTGCATTGCAGTAATGATATGTATTTTTTTATTACGTCCTAATATGTGTTTCATTCAAAATTGAAATGAATTTAGATTTAGATTTATTGGTGAAATGTGACTTGGACATGATCTTAACAGCCTGGAAAGGAGGACAGTAAAAATCTGCTTTATGTTCTTAGTTAGTGGATCACCACAACTTTTGTGAGCAGTTTTTGTGAATTTGTTGTCAACCCTTCTGAGACCTGGTCATTATGGATTCATATTATAGTGTAGACTATTTATTATTTATATATAACATTTGAAATTCTTAGAGATGCACATCCTAAGATGAAGGCACACATGTTTTTGCATTAAGAACATTTACACACATGTATATTGTAGTGGTGTGCACAAATAGTCGAATATTCAATATGTAATTATTATTCGAAAACTAAAAACACTTCAAATATTACTGTTTTGCTTTGCTGGCTGTAAATGCATGGAATCCATGCTAAATCCTAAGCATGCAAACTAAAAGTCAGTTATAAGTAAATGCACTGGGTCGCGCTGTTAACAAAGCGATTGTATTTGATCACAGAATGTCGTCGTGTGCCTCGCAAAGTTTGGAATTACTTTGATCAAAATGAATCATTGAAACTGAGTTATCATAATATCACCACCACAATGAGAAATCACATGAAATCCAAACACCAGTTGACTGAGGAAAGACAGCTGTCCATCACTGCATTCATGACTGCAGGTAAGCGCAGCTGTACCCAGAGTGAGCCGAGAAGAGAGCTTATCTGATGATCTTGAGACATATGCTTCCTTTAAGTGTCCTCGAGGGAGAGTGCTTTAAAAACAGAAAACAAAAAGCGCTGTAAGAAACTTTGCTTAGCACACCGTTATCTTTGTCTCGTTATCACCTTTGTCTCTGGAACGTCTGTGTGGGCACGTGTTCTTATTGTTATCGGACTGAGGAGCCAACTTTCGTGTGGATATTATTGTTTTTCTCAACATTAACATGATGTGAGACAAAATAAACATGATGAACATAGGCCAACTCGAGTGTATGTAGGTTCTTTACTGTAATTGGCACTGTCTGCTTTATTTTTCCTGTTGCTCTGCAGCTTGCCTTGGTTTTTTGTTTTGTTTTTTTGTTTTTTTTACATGTTTTCAACTAAAAGAAAACCTTGAGATATAACGTAATGTTGTTGTAGAACATTGTTGTGTATAATGCCTAATAATAAGCTTGTTCAGAAATGGTGACAAAAACTTAAATGTCATATAAATAAACGAATATTTGAATATTCATTTTTTTATGAGCCCAAATATTCAAACACAATATTTTTGAAAAATGCCCATCCCTACTATATTGACTGATAAACAAATTTAAGTGCAGGAGGGGTTTATATTAATAAAAAATGTAAAGCACTCACAGAATCATTAACACACAAACTACCCCTAGGAATCTTTAAAGCATCAGAGTTTGCGGAAGTGTTTTCAGTTCAGACTGCGGTCATCTGAGTGAATTCCTTCTGTTTCCTCTTTCTTTGTGTCTTTTTTAGTCCTCTCTTTAGTAGAGGGGAAGTTCAGTCTACTGAGGAACAAACATATAGGTGTGTGTGTTTCTCCCTGTATATTTTGCACAGACCTCTGGTGAGCCATCAGTAGGTACTACGTTTACATGGACAATTTCTGCTTCCATCGGAATGAATTCATTCTGATTGACGAATCCGAACATAGTGTTTACATGAACGCTAAATAAAGTGATCGGGTTGATATGCACGTTTATATGTCACAGACGCTTCTGATCGGATTTACTCTTTTGACATGCGCACACTACATGAATATACAGAGTTTCCCACTGTTGTCGCATACTGTTTTAAAAAGCACACTTAATATTTATCTACTTCGGGGCCTAATTAGGTGACGAGCAGCACATGAACTGTTGTGCTGTGCTGCTTGCTTTATAAAGCAGTAAAATTGTCCCTTCCTGCACCCAAAACCAGTCGTCTGTTGATGAGAGTCTTTAACAAGGACTGGTGGGACGTTGTCCTGCTCCACTTCACAGACGCTGAGTGAAAGGGGAGTTTTATAATAACGGGACACTCATTTATGACACTATTCACCAGGAAGAACAGCTCGTTCCGCGCGTCATACGTCATTACGCCATTTCACTGCGCATGCGCAGTACTTTCCAGTTTCGGTTTTCAATCTGATCAAGTGTTTACCATGTCCTCTCGCTCGGATTACAAAAGGAATAAACCACCCCTTACAATCCGATCGAAATCTGAAACGGATCTGGCCAATTCAATCCGATTGATGTGGTTACATGTGACTTTTTTTATTTTGATTGTGCTTCTAGTCCTATTACAATTGGATTAGTAGGGTCCATGTAAACGCAGCTACTGTTGCTGCACAGTTCAATTTAATTGGAGGACAGTCTTAAAGTGACCGATTTAGAGTGGGGACTAGGAGAACTGCACACTGAGTTTGAGTATTTGTTTGGAGGAACTGAGTATTGTTTTGTATTCTGTTGAGAACTGTAGTTGCCATGCAGACCTGAAAGATGCTGCACTGTTTGCTGAAACAACAGGTGGCAATGAACAGAAAATAAACGGCTCATCAGAAGTTCTTGAGTTTGTTAAATTGACACCTTTTGCTTGTATTATCATGTCAAGCATAAACCTGGTTTTACTCTGTCACACAAGGCCAGTGAAGAGAGATAGCAGAGGGACCGTATCAAGGTCAGCCCATGCCATAAACCACTGCAGCTCAACGTGGTTGATCTTGAACTATGATGTTTGCGGTGATTAATTCAGTACTTGAGACATGATGAGAACTCACTGAGTACTCAAATCTTCTTAAGAAATAAGTTAGGAAATTTCTTAAGATAAATTCCAAGGAGTTTGTAAGAATGTTCGTTAAGAACCTCTAAAATATTTTCTTAAGAGCATCTTATTTTTTTCTTAAGAAAAAAATGACAGTCTTTACGTGATTGAATAAATTGTGTTTCTTACTGAAGACTCACTGATAAACTAAATCAAAAACATTTCAAGGATTGTATTTTTGCGCTGCCTATAAATGACCATAATAATCATAATGACCAGCTTTACGGGCACTCAGCTTCGCATTTTTAGCACACCGGGTTTTTGAACAGTTACTTGAAAGAGCCTGTCTAAAGATGCAGCGATCTGTTTCATTCAGTTGTGTGCCATCTTTTTGCGCTACAGTAAACGTGTCTTGTGTATGACCACGTTCATATTCACTGAATACTGCCAAAGATTATGACGTTTTTATAGGCTAAACTTAACAAAGGGGCCCCATATCCCCTACTATGTATTATATGTAGCTAGTGTTGTTGTAGTGCTTAAGCACAACAATTAATTTGAAATGACCCAAAAAATTAAATCATTTTAGCAAAGCAGTGCTTGAATTTTGAATATCAGTAACATTGATAACTTTAATCATTTTAAGCGGCTCATGTTGTTATGAAAACATTCGCGTATTGATTCAAACGGCTGATTCATTCAGAAACGAGGCAAGTGACTGTCCTTATGAATAGGCCATTGAATCATTGACTCACTCGATTCGTTCAAAAACGTGGATTCATTCAGTAACGAAACACCGCTGTGTGTTGCTCGGAGACACACAACAGTCCTGCTGTATAGAATGATTGGGAAAGATCACGTAACATTTAAACAGCCTTCTGTCTGTACCGCCTTCATTTACGTGCTTGTTTTCATCACTTTCGCTTTAATTCTCGGGCACCGACTCGTTCGCTAAACGGAACATCCAATCAGAGAGCTCACTCATGCCGACGGCCCCAACGAATCGGACAAACTGCTGCCGACGTGAGCCCGACGAGAGCTGACGAGTGGAACACACCAAACAAACTAGCCCGACCGTCGGCTTGGTGTGTCCCGGCATTAACTTTAAGAAGATATTGAAAAAAGATAAAAATATTCTTAAGTCTTTTTGGGAATGCAAAATATTCTTAACTTTTTTCTTATATTAGAAAATAAGAAGAAAATGGCAGTTAAGAAGAATTTCGTTCTTAAGAATGTTTTGTGAATCTGGCCCCAGGTTCTTATCTATTGCATTAAAGTGCTAGATAAAATAATAATTAGAGATGCGCCGATCAGTCTCACATCTTGCCGATTCCGAGCCGATCCTTTTATTGCCTGCGGCGCCGGCAATGACATCACAGCCACACGCACACTCACAGTCGCGTATAAACATGTTGTTTAGCGTGAGAATGATTCTAATTTTAATTGAATTCAGTGTAAACGGCGACTGATAATGTATTTATGTCATGCCAAATGAGGCTTGCACAGCCTGAGTGAGTGTGTGAGAGAGACAGCACAAACAAAGTAACTCACAGAAATGTATAGATGCATACTGCAGTAGAAAAAAAAAGATATTTACAAAATATGATTTAGGTAAGCAACATTATACGGCCATGATGTTTCCCCGAATATCAATATCAACACGATTGC